AGCTGGATCGGCTCAACTATGCCATTGGACTTAGGTCCAAGTCCATTCTTAGGCTGATATCCATACTTCAACATTTCTGACGCAACCATTTTTATTGCACTTGACAATTTGGTATCTTCGGGCTCTGTTTCCTCATTGACCCAAAGCTTGCATGATTTCCAAAGTGTGAAAAGTGGCTCCGTCTAACTCGTCGGTGACTGGGATAGAATTAACAGAATGAATGGGGTGACTGAGTTCTCCGTGGACGGTAACTTCTGTGCGTCCCCACTCAAACTTTACACATTGATGAAGAGTGGAAGGAACCGCTCTTGCCATGTGAACCCATGGTCTTCCCAATAACATGTTGTAGTTGGACGATACATCCATCAGTTGAAATAGAATGGGGAATTCAGCCGGCCCCACTTGCAATGTGAGATGTATCTCTCCGATGACACTTCTTTGTTTAACACCTCCATCAAACTATTCCTATGAGCTTCAGAACTCATAAGCAAAGACCAAATGGATACGTGGGCTGGCGTCTTCTTCAATTGTTCTTCAACCGAATAGTCTTTAGACTGCATTTTCTTCCAAAACTCTACGGCTTCAACATTGGTAATATTCTTCTTTGGATTCTGTTCTTTTCCGAGAACTCTGTGAGTTAGGTCCTCTGGGGCATAACACCTCCCCGACCTAGTCATCCCTTGAGCCACGGCAGTGTCAATCATCTTGCCCTTGGCGTCCGCTCGATAGTCCCATGAGACTGCTTTGGTGTCATACTCAGGCTTATTAGCAATTAGAGTGGTCACTACAACTCTTGGGAGATATGTTTGGACAGTCAGAGGTTCTCTTAGTTGAACAGTGATAACAAGTTGTGCCGAAGATGTCATGGCATCCGCTTCATCTATATTTGAATAGTCGGGGGTCCCATATTCATCATCCAGAGTAATCATGTTGACTTTCCGATTCTCATGGTTTGGCAAGGGATTGTTGTTCACATTGGGAGGTGCTGGAGTGCATTTGATTACTCCTCTCCTGATCAAAGACTCGATCTTGTTCTTCAAACCATAACAATCTTCTGTGTCGTGTCCTTGGACTTCCGAGTGGTATGCACATCGCTTGTTCCCATCAAAATTGCGAGGGATTGGATCAGGAAGTTTTCCTTCAACTGGTTGCAGCACTCCCGCTGTCCTCAACCTCTCAAACAATTGAGCATAGGGTTCAGCAATCGGTGTGTAAGCGCGAGCATTTCTAGCTTCAGGATTTGGACGTGGTCTCGGTGCATAAGCTAGTCTATTTTGGTGGATTGGTGCTTGGACAGGGACATATGGTCTTGGAGGATTTTGGTATGCTGGTGCTCGGGGTAGATTATAGTGTGGTTGGGTATTATACACTAGGACGTGTGAAGTATGGGCAGCGATTTGGGGATTATTGGGGTATCGGTGAGATGGTCCTCCTGGTTGGTAAGTGACAGCTGAAACATCCTCTCTTTTCTTTTTGATGCCGCCAATGGAACCCGATTGTATAGCCCTACTTGCAGCTTGCAATGCGACCATAGACTGAATCTTCCCAGATTTAACACCCTCCTCTATAAAGTTTCCCATCTTGACCAATTCTGCACACTTTTGACCCATTATTGACATCATCTTGTCAAAGTAGATACCTTCTTGAGCTCGAATAAAGTATTTCAAGAGTTCACTCTCATCTAGTGGTGGTTGCACCCTCGCGTCCTCAGTTCTCCAACGTCGTGCATATTCCTGGAAATTCTCAGATGGCTTCTTCTGTATATTGGCCAATGAGAATCTGTCAGCAGTAATTTCAGTATTGAATCTGAAACGAGTCATGAAGTCCTCGGCCATTTCCTGCCAGTCACGCCATTTGCGAGGGTCTTGGCGGGTATACCAGGTTAATGCTTCTCCAGACAGACTTCGAATGAACAACTTCATCCTCAACTTCTCATTTCTCCCTACACCGACTAACTTGTCATAGTATGCCCTTAAATGTGCGTGAGGTTCACCCTTTCCATCGAACATGTCAAACTTCAGAGGTTTGTACCCTACCGGCATGTCAATGTTTGGATGGATGCACAAGTCATCATAATCCAGACTCTCTGTCCCTCTAGTGACTTGTAAGCTTTTCAATGCTTTCCTCAAACCCTGAAGCTGGGCATTTATCGATGCATCTTCTTTCAACCGAGCATCTTTCTCCATTTCTTCATATTGATCAACTTCGTACGGGATATTAATCACAGCTGGCGTTGTGAAGGTAGGAACTCCAGCGGTATATACGGGTGGAACACGTGGCTCATAGGGAGCGGCGACATGTGCCCCAAGTATCTGCTGCATTGTAGGTATGGTAGGGTCGCGGTTGGAAAGGTCAGGAACGGTCCTGACTGCGGTTGGAGAAGCTGGTAGTACTTGACCGTGAGTAGGAGCGCGTTGAGTTTGTTCTGGCTGATTTGGAAAGTCAGCTTTTGCGAAGTAGATAGGCATCTTGAAAGTAGGGAAAGTGGTCGCCGATAGTTTGGCCAAGTCTCGCACTTGACGCAATTCTTCCCTCAAGATCTCGAGTTCTTGTTCCATGTGAGCCATTTTCTCCTCGTTTTGAATGTCAGCTATACTTCGAGAACTTTCGGGATTCTCAATAGGTACTATTATGTTTGCGGTAGCGTTGAACTCGTATTTATCATTCATTTTTCCCTTTGATCGAAGGTTGTATCGTGAGTCAGCCAGTTTGCAAGTCGACACAAATTTCATTGATTAAGGCTTGGCTATTACAATGATGTAGGCGGTCAGAAGCCGAAGAAATAAAAGTACAGGGGTGGCCATAAGGCATACAAGGGGGATAGGTCATACGACCTTTAAAGAGCTTATGAGGGAATTCAAAGAAAAAAGATGATCTACGGCCAAGTTGGAGCATCATCATAATCGTCGTCCACGTCATAGTAAAGACCCGGGTGATACTCTGAGGATTCATCGATTTTCCATTCCCAGTTGTTTGAATCTTCCCTTTTATCAAACCCTATGGAACCATATTCTGAGTGAGCGTCTTATACTGTTGGAACAAGTTAATCCTCTATATGCATCACTCCTCCATCCCTAGGGTCATACAAATTAGGGTCATGCTCTGAGTATTCTTCTGGATCTTCTTCCATCTCCTCAGTTGGCTCTCTAGGATCTTCTTCTGGGTCTTCCTCCATCTCTTCATTTGGTTCATCATCAACTGCCTGTATGAGATAGTCGATGGACCGTGGGGCCACCTGCTGATACATGGTCGTAGTGATGTGCATGAGGTTCAATAGCTCCATGCCAATTTGATTTGACCTTTGAGTGTCTGTGAACCCCAAGATTCCTTCATAACTAGGCCTAGCGAGAATTCCTCCCATCATAAACCAAGTATAATATTCAGGTGTGCACCATGATTCAACCCCCATGTCTGAGTCAAGAATACCGCACCATCCTTGTACCAAAGCAGCGATCCTTTCGATCGGGATTCTTCCTTCATAATTGACCTCTATCAATGCCATATTTGACCATAGAGGAACATCTTGGGTAATCCCAAAATGTCGGAGGACTCTTAAAGGTGCGTAGGGCTGGAAGCCTTCCAACCCAATCAACTCAATGAAATAGGCCTGGTTAGTTCTCAACAAAGCTCGGCCATGGACCCACGGTAAACGCCATTGAATGTGGTTCGATAAAAGTGTTCCAACACCCAAATCTGCAGCAACAAGTTACTTCCCTTAAAGTGATCATATCCTCTAGAGCAGAGGGATAATGATCGAAATATTTCTGCCAAGATCATGGGTACGATGGTCACTCTAATAGGTCCCCTAAACATGAAGATGATCATAGGCAGTAGGTTGATGTTCGACACACCCTTTTTTCTATGGGAAAATCATAATACCCAAAAAAGCCGTCACGAAGACAATAGCCCTGAGTCTTTCCCAATCAACCCTGGAGATGAAGAATTCTTGATGGAACCTATCATAGCTATCTCGACGACCGAACCTTTTAAACAGATAATCCAACTTGACCCATCCTTCATCAACTCTTCGCAAATATTGGCCTACCCTCAAACCCAAAGACTGGAAAAAACTGATCCCTGATGTAGTGCGCGGAGCCAAAGGTACTCTGCCAGCCAACGATAAGTCAGCAATTTGACTTATCTCTTCCAATGTTGGTGTGATTTCAAAATCTGTGAACTGGAAGGTCACCACCCTAAGTGTAGCATAATCTCATTTCCGTAGGCCACTCGGATGTTTCCCCACCATTCTTTCAAAGTTCGGGGGACCTCAGTCATCATCTTGATATCATGAAGGTTTTGGTTGATTTGCATCTGAAAGAAAGGGTAAAGGGTATGAAGAGTTTATTTGCTCCAAATCCGTTAAGTGTTTAAGTTAGGATGATTTATATCAATTTCACACAAAGTTTATGTCGTTGAGTTTTAAAGAAGAAATCATTGACATTTGGGTGGTTTCCTAAATGCAACGACAATACCGTATACTGTCTTGCCTAAGGCTATGCAACATGACCTATTTTAAAGAGTAAGATTTTTTCCTAGATGATTGAGAGTGGGACTGCTTAATTACGAGAAGGTGCACTATCTTAATTGCGCCAACTCTGAAATTAAGGAATCCAAAGAGAGTTTCGGAGGAGTGCAGGAACACCCCTCGCGTGTACAGTGTGTGCGTGTACGGCCAAGACTCGATAGAATGTGCAAATTACTATGTAGGGAAAGCAGTAACAAGTAGTGTCTTAAGACAAATAAGGAACACAAGCTTGGATTTCACTTGCGACCTTTCAGTCAAAGCAATATATCAATAGCAAGCTAAAAAATAAACACGTAATCACAAATGTTGTTCCTAAATTGTGTTTTTCTAAGGTTAAAACCTAAGTAAGATCCCCATCAGAGTCGCCACGCTGTCGCACCCCATTTCGAACCGGCCGAAACAGTTCACAACATAATATGGCTGTCACTCTGATTTTGGAAAAGAAATTATTTTTGTTTTGTTGAGTCACCACCTAAATTTTAAGGAAAATATTAGGAAAACCATTTTTAAAAAAATATGTAAATGTAAACTCTGTTTTGATTTGCGAAACCAGTGAGATTCTGAGTAACGGTTTTGGTTACTCGAGGGGAAGGTGTTAAGCACCCCTCAGAGCCTATCCGAGGATAGTCCTTAAACTCAATTTAGGAAACTATAATTAGGAAAACTTGTTTATTTATTTGCTTTTTTTTTAAAAAAAGATAAGTTAATTGGTTATTTTTAAGAAAAAAGAATAAAATACAAGATACGATCCTAAGAAATATATAGATGTTGAATTTATGAAAATATGTCATTTCATTAAGACGTGAAAAAAATTAAATAAGATAATAGTGGAGTGTAAATATGTAGTAATATGTAATATGTAATTTGGATAAAAAAGGATTTCCTAAAAAAAATTAAAATAAATAAATAATGATGATGCTAAATGTTAAAATATTAGATAGAATAAAAAATTATGTTTATTATAAAGTATAGTATATACATGTAAGTTGTTTAGGACATATGAACACTTATTATATATTTACATGTATAGACGAATTGACGATGGATTATGTGTAGTAAAGTAATATGTATATTTAAGTGTAGGCATTTATAAATTATAAAAATAAATAAATAACATTAGTAAAAGAGATAGTAGATAAAACTAGGTTATATGGAGAAAATATAGAATATACCTTTATATGTATGACACATATATGTATGTACCTTGTATTTGAACCTGTTGACATATCTTGTCTTGAGCAGCAAACTAAGGCTTTGATGTGAAGGATTCTGATTTCGATCTTACTTGAACTCGAACCCCAAAAAATCGAAAACAAAGAGAAGAGAAGAGAAATTGTGTATCGAACTGTAACCTTTTGAAATTTATTGTTTCTATATGTTCTTATATCTATTGTTGCATTCTTGATTGCTGTTCTTACCCCTCTTTTTCTCTATGGTTCTTGGTCCTCTTCGGATGGGAAAACACCATCCTTTTATAGGTGAAAATTAGATTCAAAACTCCGAATTCGAAATCAAAATACTCACTGGAAGATAGAGAGCTACTGCTCCAGATCAAATCAATATCACCTTCTCAGATTTTGAAGCCGTTGGGATCAAGCATAGGCGGCGTAGGGGTCTCTTTTCATTAGAAAAAGGATGACAGAGGAGTGGATGATGTTGGAGACCGCCGGATATTGTTGTTTTCCGGCGGTCCATGGCCGACCTTGATGGGAGAGGTCAAAAAGAGGCATGGGGAAGGAGGAGAAAGAGTGAGGCGTCGTAGGTGTGGGGAAGAAGCACGTTTCTGGGAAAAGGAAAAAGTTGGACAGGCGATGGGAGTTGTACTTATTTTGGGAAAAGATGAAAAACGTGGGATTTCATTTGGGCCGTCCGATCATTTGATCGGACGGTTGGTAAAAATAAAGAGTTTAAAAATAAATAATAATTATATATATATATATATATATAATAGTAAAAGGCAAGGGGTAATATGTTAGAAAGTTCAGAGTTTAGATGGAATGCTTGCTATCAGTGCATTAGATGTCCTAGTTGTCCAGTACCAACCCGCTTTGGAGGTTCAGTGTGCCTTCGTTCCTGTCATTCATCCAGTCTCTTGCAAGTGCTATCAAATCCTCTGTGAGTGAGGATACTCTTTATTTTGGGAGTCCTACAGGAGCTGCTCTCGAATGCGCTTACCTTGCCTTGTCGTCGATTACCTTCTGACTCTTGTGGGACTTCATCCCATCTCGTGAGGGGATCTTTGATGCGGCATTACCGGTGTCGGATAGGAAAAAAGGAGGTACAAGCGCAAGAGCAAAGATAGCTATTCCTCCCATCTTCCCTTTTCAATTTCCATTGCTTATCAAAGAAAGAATTCTAGAACTAGTGGTAGGTGGTCCCGTGGAGCTTTCAAAGGTAGTTTACTTACTTTAGTTTAGAGCGGGCAACAAGCCTTTTTTTTAGTTAGTCGGGTACTAACGGTTGGCAACCTCTATGATGTCAACATCTCTATGGGGCCTACTCTAGTCTTTTATCCGAGATTGCTGGAGGCCAAGCCTTTCCTGAAGAAGCCATCAATCCCTTGAAGATGCTATCCATCTATTGCGACTCTTTCAATCCTAGGTCTATCCTTTCCCCCCCAAAAAACCGACCCTGTAGCGCTAGCGCTTCGCGTTCTTTCTATTCCATCCCATTCCGGGATAGGCGGCTAATACTTTGATTAGCCAGTTTCCAAGAGGGAGAAGGTCTTATGGCAATCTCAGGCATACTACTAATCGTTTATTTGGCCTGATCGAGCAACCTATGAACAATTGTCGCCTACATAATGCTGACTCTGCCGTGGAAAGAGTAATGAGAGGAAAGCCTTGACCTTCCCTTGTTCTACCCTTCGAACTCGGAGATTGAAGAAGATCACTCTATGCAGCGACAAAGAGCGAAAAGAACATCATATAATCGGTTATACTATCTGAAAACATAGGAGTAGTAGTACTTCCTAAAGCTAAAGGTTTTATCCCTCTCGACACGTGAAAGCTAAAAACAGTCTTCCTAAAAAGTCCTCACATGGTCAATGAAGGCCCAAGTATACCTATAAAAAAGAAATGCACGACAGCTTTTGAAGAAAAAAGAGATGCATCTTTCTTTTCAACCAGAGGAATCACAGCTGATTAGAGCGCTCGAATTCAATGTTTCCATATCCCTCCGGGCAGGAAATCATATATTGAATAGAGGGTACTTCGCCCCTGTAGAGGATACAACACATTGAAATAAAGGAATTGGTGGATCTCTCCCATCAGACAGATCAACGGCACCGGGCACGGGATAGCCAAGCCCATCATCTTTCAATAGTTCTAGACTTCTCACAATCAGTCTCTAAAGCTCTATCATCTTTCAATAGTTCTAGACTTCTCACTATCAGTCAGTTTTCCCACGTCTCACACCTTCCACCAGCCTCTTACAATAGGGGCTTTTTTTTTAGAGTTGCTTTCCTTCGTGTTGGTAGTGGTACCTACCTGCTAAGCTATCCCCTTTTATTCTATACTCTATTTTTTGCCCGCCCATTCTTTATTCTTTGAGAAAAGAACCTACGGGAAGGGCTGATTTGCAGATGAGGAATTAGCCTACCCAAGTTTCCTGATGTAAGCTCCCTAGGTACGGTTTCAGAGTTTATGTAAATGCCCTATCTTCAAAAGGAGTTGCTGACTTAAGGTATCCCCTGATCCGAGGGTGAGCTAGAATTGTGTATGGTGAAGAGGAAAGGAAGAAGTCATTGTAAAGGAAGACGACATTTACCATTTCCGCTGCCTGCCTAAAGGCTTATTGGTAGCTCTTAGGTTCTCTGTCAGTAGAGTAATTGCCAATGAGCAACCTTCTATCTGGCCTCTGTACCAATAGTAGAGTGGCTTGCTACTTTCAATCAGAAAAGGAAGATTGAGCAAGCCAATGGTTCAACAATTTCAACACCGCGCCCCTTCTCCAGGGTGGCAGATGGGTCTAGAGAATCGAACTGTCTCACGATTTCAATCCGGTTAGAAAAACTTCTCCTAAGCAATTCACGTATCATTTGAGTAGTAGTACGAAACCTTAAGAAAAGGCGATCTACTAGCTTCTACTAGGAGTAGCCTTTTTAGTGCTAGCTGAACGTAAAGTAATGGCTTTTGTGCAATGTCGAAAGGGTTTCAAAATAGAAAGAGAAAGGCTGGAACGAAGTAGCTCGCCTAAAAGGAGGGAAATGAAGCACTCGGCTGAGATTGTTGGAAAAGAGAGGCAGGGCCCGAGGCACTTGCTAACGAGCAGGCGGGACAAGATTGACTTGAAAAGACGCTCTACTTGAAAGGCAATGGCTTTGAGGGTACTAACTGTGATATATGGGTAAGGAAAAAAAAGAGTAGCTCAGGCTCTCGAGGCATACTAGCGGGGCTTGACTAGAATCGTAGAAAGAAGCTGGGGAGAAAGATCCAAGAAACTTATAGAGTCGTAGCCTTCTAAGACTTTCTTCTCCAACTCACTCAATCGATAGGTTGAGGCAATCAACTGGAAATCGACCAAAAGGACCTGTCAAGCCTTAGAATTCAATGCGGAAGGAAAAGGAAACAACGGAGGGATCCAAATCGGACCTAAATGGGAATGACATGAAAAGTCTTTTTCAAAACCTAGCATTAAGGGACTTAGAGATTGACGATCAAGAAAGCTAGACCTTTATGTCGGACAAATAAAAAGGTCTTGTCGAAGCATTTAACGAGATTTTGCCATATGTTGACCATAGATTTTGTGTGCGACATCTCCATAATAATTTTAAGAAGGCTAGTTTTTTTTGGTTTGTCCCTCAAGAATGCTCTTTGGGCTGCTGCAAATGCTTCAACTATGGAATTTTTTTAAAATTTGCATGAATTAGATGCCGAAACCGCTGCATGGTTGAATGAAAAACCACCTACTGAATGGTCTAAATCACATTTTTCTACAGGTGCTAAATGTGATGTTTTGTTGAATAATATGTGTGAATATTTTAACAGTATGATTCTCGATGCTCGAGACAAGCCAATCATAACTTTGTTGGAGAAACTAAGATATCTTTTTATGGCTAAATTTCAAGATAATAGGGAGAAATCAGAAAGATGAAATTCAGGTGATATTTTTCCTCGGATATAGAGCATTTTGCACAAGAATGAATCTGCGGCAACTACATTTATTCCAAAAAAATCAAATCAATGGAATTATGAGATTCTTGGAGCATCGATTGCCGACAATTGGTTGTGGACCTACAAAACAAAAAGTGTAGTTGTAGAAAATGGACTATAACAGGAATTCCTTGCAAACATGCAATATTGGCTATTTGGGCTAAAGATGATGTGGTTCTTGATTATGTTGATGATTGTTACAAAGTTGATACATATAAAAGAATTTATGAAAAAAATATCTTTTCGATAAATGGATCACAATTGTGGCCTAAATCAAACAAGGTTCCTCCTTTGCCTCCGAGACTTGTAAGACAAAACAAGAGGGGAAGAGACCAGAAATTGAGGAGACGAGAGCAAGCTGAGGCAGGATCAAGCAGAACAGGAAGGAAAAAAAAAACAAATATCTGCTAATTGTAGCTTATGTCGCAAGCCTGGCCATAATATAAGGACCTGCAAATTTAAAAATTACGTGCAGTCTGAAGTAGGTGCATATGACTCAGCTTTCTGGATGCCTCCTACTTCATCAATTTCTGAAAAGTTACCGGTAATTTTTTTGGCATAAATTTTTATTTGGCTCTCAATTCTGGACCAAGTCAAGATTGTTTTGATACTTAATGTGGTCTTGCTATCAATTTTGATTGGGCTAAACACGGTGCCACATCTTTTTTTTGTGTGATGGACATAAACACTGCTTGTTTTGTGAAGGATATATAGTGTTGGTACTATTTTTTATTTTATGAATATGGTGTGGTTGCTTCTTTTTTTTTTGTGAAAAGAATAGATGATGTTGTTGTAGCAATGGTTCTTATGGTGATAATATTATGTTGTTATTTTTTCAAGTCATTTGTATCTAGTTTTTTTTATGTTGTGTGGATGAGCTTAAGATAAGTGCTTAAAATATATTTTTTATTTTATCCAAACACTATAAAAGTGCTTAAAAGTTATTTTGGCTTAATGCACTTAAGAGTTGTGCTTGGTATTGCATGAATATGATGTATAGAGGAGTTATCACAAGTAAAGAAAGGTGATATGGAGGAGTTTAATAACCATGAGATTGCACCAGAGACACCTTTTTCTATAATTGTGATGTTGTTGTTGCTATACAGAGCACACATCCTACTAATAATGTGCCTCATTATTGATGAAGACACCAACACAATGTTCATCATAGTGTTGCTCATGAGTACCAGATCCCACAGGGATGTCAACATAATAAATGAAATGGTTAACAACGTCATGGCAACATCATAGAGTATATTCTTTAAACTAACAAAATCATGTTCTATTATTGTCGTGGAAAATCATACACAATCATGCAATTGACTTTATCATTGGGTACACTTAAAAGAGGTTGAGATCGAAATGACATATGTGACAAGAAGCAATGTTCAAGTTGTGACATTTGACGGGACCGAAATGAACATACTAGGAAAAGTCTATCTGGTGCTATAAATTGGATCAATAGGATTTTCGATCCTATTTCACATGATGAATGCATCAACTTCATATACAACATATCGATGGATCAACCTGCACCAGGGCATAAAATATAAATTGGTTAGATGAGACATAGTAATATAGAGAGAGGCCGACAATCCTATCCGTCCAATGTCCCTTATTTATTAATTGGACGAATCTACTTTTCACGCCATGGAAGCTTAATATTGCACAAAGAATTGGAGAAAAGGATGCATTAGATCCTAAGATGGTGGTCATCAAAATATTAGATCACGAGTTCAAACTAGAAATGCATCTTAGAGCGAATTTTGATAGGATCATTGAGACTATATAGCTAAAACATTATAAAGACACAATATGACTTATTTATAATGTCGCTAAATGAATTTAAGGTTATCATAAATAGTTTTCCACAATATATTGGCCTTCAAATGACCACCTTAAATGTTATCGACTAATACTACAACAATACAAGTGCAAATAAAAATAAATCATATCATAGTTTCTTCAAGTCAATCATGTTTTCACTTCATTGATTCTCGACATCTACATATGTTTCCACATTTTCTTCAGGTGCGACAATTCTACTCAATAACTTTGAAATGTCAAATTTGATTCTCATCACCTTATCGGAATGCATCTGGTGCATGATTCCAGTTTCTCCAATCTGTCAATTTATAGTGTTTGTTGTTCTACTCCTGTGTGTTTGATAAATAACAATTTTGATGAGTGTGTCAGTAACCGTCTTCTTCACCTTCATCGGAACCTACCCAAACACCATCAACAATGAAAAATTTTGGGTCGATTGATTTACAAGAAAATGATTTTTTGTTGGAAAGGCAGGAGTTTTCATCCTTTGGAGCTGATCCAAGACGACAGAAGTTTTGTGTAAGATTTTTGTTCAATCTTAAGTATGCAACAAATAAATCTCCACATACTGTATCACATTACACCAATACCAAAGGTTCTATATTAACAGAAGAATCTTTAGTTTCTCAATCACCCACGGGCCTTCAGCTCAGCAAAACGCCTGGATAGATCATCCTCACTGACCTTCTCCTCATTCTTAGAAGATATAGCATGGCCGACTACTTGTGGAAGCCCGACAGACACCTCGAGTCCATAGTCATTAGCCACTGGTTGCATCAAGTTGCCGACCTGATCCTCTGGTGTCGATAAGGAAGTACTTCCAGCCATAGAACTCTCCATGAATTCAGCTTGAACCTCCATATTCACAAACTGACGCTCGAATGAATCCATCGTCCCCGACATTTTCTGTAGATTCCCTGTGTTGAGTGAAGACTCCAGTGATTTTACAATCGAGGATATTGACTTGTTGAACGTCGTCATCTTCGCCTGAGTATCTAGGCGAGCCACAACGATGTCAAGGCGAGAGGAGTGACAGAGATAGTTCATCTGTTCGTTGCGCTTGCGGATGACGTTCTCGACGTAAATTCTAGCATTGTCCATGTTACCTTTCTCGATGGACTTCTTCACCCTGAGCTTCTGAAACTTGTCATCCTTCTCGCATTTTTGGGCTTGGCGTTGGAGGCTTTTCGATGTGAACTTGAGCTCCATGATCTGATTCATCAGTTTCTCGGCGTTTCCCATTTTCTAAGCTTTGGTGATGGAGTCTTCCGATTGTTTTTGGCAATTCTTCTCCTTTGATCGATCAATCATCTTTTCAATTTTTGAAGTATATCAATCGTCTTTTCAATGTCCGTGAGTTGCACATCTTTGTTTAATTTGACACAATTTTTTTTGTGTCATTAGGGTTTTAGGGTGAAAGACTAAATTGATAAGTTTTTAACATAGATAAAGGACCTTTTCCATAAGATTCATATATGAGGGACCAAATCAATCTAAGTCCATACATTCATGACTATTTTGATCCTTTTCTCCATTATGAGATGAAATCTCAAATTCTTCAAAAATCATGATTTAGAATTTTTTGAATACAAAAACTAACCACAAGTTTATATTTTGTAAAAATAATCCCACATTTATATCTACCAACCATTTATTTTATATATAAATAAAATTTATAATTCATATCAGTACTTTTTAAAATATTTATATCTCATATAATGATTATTCTCACCAACATAAAATTTATTATTACTTCAAATCAATTCCTACTTTACCATTCATATTCACAAAATTCATTATTATTTTTTATCAAATTTATTTATTAATCAAATTCACCAATAAATGGCTCAAAGTAACAATTAATGTTGGTTCGTCTTCTCGGTCATATGATCAAGAAATGCATGTTTAACGTGAGAAAATTTTATGTACTATGCGTAAAGACTAGACACGATAACTTATGTTCAATTATTTTTTATTGAATTAAAGTCTGATCAATAAAATGTTGTGTTTTTTTAGAATAGTTTTGTGATAGTATATTGTGCAATTTTATGAGCTTTTGCTTATTTTGTAAGATTGTATAAAGAATTGAAACAATTTTAATAGTTTACAACTTATGAGGTTCTTATGTTTATGAGAAAACATATAACAATAAAAGTTTAAATTGCGTGTTAAAAAAAAACTTCAACTTTATCTCATAATTTCATAACATGATTTCATATCGTGATTTCAAATCATTATTTCATATCACATGGCCAAACAGTCCCATAGTTTTAAAAATGAATTTTTTTTTTATCAAAAATTAAAAGATTTTATGTCGAAATGTACGGTCAAAATTAAGAAATTTGAATTTCAAAAAAAGAGTATCATATAATTTGGGATAGAGAAAATATATATTTTTGTGTTGTACAATGTATCTTTGTCTTTTGATTATGTTCCAATATTTATAACTTTATATATTTATTGAGATAGTAATTATTTCTCAAAACGTATTCAACTAAATTAAGTTTTGGAAGTCTTTTCAGAAATGTTTGGGTTTGAAGGTAAATTTGAGTACTGCTTTCCATCCCCAGACTGATGGTCAAGTAGAGTGCATGATTTAGACCTTAGAGGACATGTTGAGGGTGTGTGTGATCGATTTCAAAGATAATTGGGATGATCACCTACCTTTCATAGAGTTTGTTTACAATAATAGTTATCACTCTAGCATCCAGATAGCTCCCTATGAGGCTCTTTATGGACAAAAATGTAGATCGCCTATTGGTTGGATTGAAGTTGGTGAAGCTGAATTGATATGACCAGACTTAGTTCATCAAGCCATGGAGAAGGTGAATATTATTCAGGAAAGGTTAAAGACAGTGCAAAGTCGTCCAAAATCCTATACATATTTATGAGAAGAGACTTGGAGTTTGAGGTGGATGATTGGGTTTACTTGAAGGTTTCACCAATGAAGGGTGCTATGAGATTTGGAAAGAAGGGGAAACTCAGTCTATTGATCCTTACAGGATATCTAAGAGAATTGACAATGTAGCTTATGAGTTGGAGCTACCACCAAAGTTAAGAGTAGTTCATCCAGTATTCCACATTTCTATGTTTAAGAAGTGTATGGGCGATCCTTCACTTATTATACCTACCAAGAATATTGGTATTAAGGACAACTTATCTTATGATGAGATACCCGTTCAGATTCTTGATCATCAGGTTCACAAGTTGAGAACCAAGGAGGTTGCATCAGTTAAGGTCTTATGGAGGAATCAGTTTGTTGAGAAAACTACTTGGGAGGCTGAGGAAGATATGAAAAAGAGATACCCACATCTCTTTACTTTCGGAGAAATTCCAAACTAAGGTACTAACTCTTTTCTTGGTACTCTTTAAATTGATATGCTAAGTTATGTGAATTGCATGTTGGGTGTTTGAGTTAGGTGTTAGATGTTTTTCCACACCCTGCTCTACTTAGAGTGATCTCATTCGAGGAGGAATGTTTCCAAGGGGGAAATATTGTAACACCTCGGACTTTGAAAGAGCTAAATTGAGATTCATACAAGTTACTCTTCAATTGTGAGTTTTGGGTCAACTTCAAACGACCATAACTTTCAGCACATGATGAGTAGGTGGCCCAGGAGGTATCAAATCGATGGTCGTTGAGTCCTCTTGCCAACGCCATTGGATTTGCTAAATTATGAGTTCGGCTTAATGAGATATGCCCGTTTGAGTGTAGCCTGTGTAGTTAAGGTAATTCATCCATTTTAAGGAGGGGTATTTTGGTCTTTTCCTTACCCTACTAGCCTAGCACTTTTTTTTTTACCCTTTTTGGGGTCTAAACTTGTAACATCTCGCAATTTGAAATATCTAGGAAGGATCTAAGAACTGGAAATAGTCATTTTTGGAAATAATAACAAATCTGGAAATTTGTTTAAGTTAGGAAAAGTGAATTTTTGGTTAGCTTCAAACAGCCATAACTCCTAGCTCAAGATGAGTTAGATGTACTTCCAGAGATGGTTGGAAAGCTATTGGAATAACATTTCCAACGCCGCTGAGTTTGCGTGATTCCGAATTTGTATGAGTGAGTTATGCCCTTTGGAAGTTGGGCTGTTCAAATAAGGAAATATCCAATCCGGATTTTTGAAGGGTATTTCAGTCTTTTCCTTATCCAATTAATTAAATTCATTTTAATGAATTAATTAAGGGTCTAAACTGAACTTGGTCAGTTTTACGGTTTTGGAAAAGAGTTGGGGTTTTAGAGAAGAGGAAAGAAGAGGAGAAAAAAGAAGTAGAAGCAAGGAAATCGTCAAGTTCGTCGAGTTTAGCTTGTGGATTTCGTCGGGGTTGATCCCTAAAAGGTATGTGAGATCACATAGCGTTAGGTTAGTTCACCCACATGTCAATCATGATTAAATTTCAGCGAAGTTATTAGATTTGAAAGTAAATCCTTGAGTTCTTGATAAATTTCGTTTGAATTCTTGTGGGTTGTGTTGATTGGAGTTTCTTGAGATTGATTCGCGTTTTTAGTCGTGTTTTCGAATAGAATCTGATGCACTTTGAACATATAATCGATTCTAAGTGTTTGGGGAAAGAACCTATGGAGTTTAGAGGGTTTAGAGCTGAAAAACGAAGAAGAAATTTCGTCGAAATGAAATTTGGTAGTGGTGGCGCGTCGCGGAGCCAATCCCCAGAATTGGGAAAATTCGTTTCGCGTCGCGGAGCTGTCACGGAGTATTCTGCCTCAAAAGTCATTTTTGAAACTAAATTTTAAATGTCTCTCCGCGTCGCGGACCCACCCTCAAATATTGATATTTTGGTATTTTCTCATGTTTAGCTATCAAAAATCATTCATAAACATCATGAGATCCTTCCAATCACAAATCATAATCCTTGAATCCATAATTCAATTCAAGGACTAGTTAAGAGTCAAGTCAAGAGCAGTTAAGATCAAAGTCAAGAAAAGTTAGAGTCAAGTCAAGAGAAGTCATCAAGAGTCAAGTCAAGAGAAGTTCATAAAGTTTTCCAAAAGTCTTTTACAAATGTTTTAACTTGTTTTAAGACTTGAGTTTGAGTTGAGTAAAGAGTAAAGTTGAAGTTCATTTCTTCAAAAGTATATGGGGACTATGTATTCCCAAAAGAGTTTAAAATGTTTTCACATTTAAATAAGAACGGAAACTGAGATTTTCAAAAGAGCCTTTGAGCTAGTTTTTCAGTAAAGAGCCCTTGGGATAGTTTTTAGTTAAAGAGTAAATGCTTTCACAATAAAGCAAGAGGGGAAACTTCGATTTTCAAGATAGCCTTTGAGCTAAGTTTTTGAGCAATTATCTCAAATCAGAGAGAGGAGTATGTTTTTAAACGTAAAGAGCTAGTATCATATTTTGGGAGTAGTATTGAGCACCGATATGGGGACGAGCTTGAATTCAGATAACTCACGTCTCCATAAACCATGTAGCCATCATGGGTAGAAAAGAGTCATACTTTTTAGATGAACCTTTTAATGCTTTTAGCATAGACTAGTGGATCCACTGAGTGAGTTAGGTCCTATACCCCCGACAAGGTATAAGATGGACCTTGGCAGCGTAAGGTAAAGTGTTGTATCATCACTATAGCTCTTAAGTGATGGTTGTCGGTTAGAGAAACTCCCACAACAGTATTTTGTATTTTATTATATACATCAGTTTATTTGTAATTTTACATACATCTCAGAGTTATATGTATCTTTGCATACACACAGAGTTGACATCATGTTTTAAACATTTTTCTTTATATTGCACTTGGTTTTAAACTGCTTTATATTGAAATGAGTTCAGTTATGTTGAGTTGAGTTGAGCCATGTAAGTTCTTCAGTTTCTTTC